TTAGCCTTTATTTATAAAACTTTCAAGTAAAAAGAATAGCATATCAACTGATAAAACAGGTGTGTCAATGAATAATAGTTAACATATTTAATCTAAAAATAAATCTTCTATGATTCCACCATACTCCAAGCAAAAGTCCTTTCTAAGAAAAGAGTTTTGTTGTGAAGTCTACGGGAGGTGAAATGGTTGACACAGAATGGAAATGGAGCTGTTCCTCTGGGACAGGGAGATATCTGAACTAGAGCATTATCATCACAGATCAATCCACTCTGACAGAGTTCCAACTCTAAATGAGGATTAAACAGAAATGAAATTCCTGAGAGGAAGGAAAAAAATGTAGAAGGAGGGAGAAATCAAACTCTCACACGAGGGAAAGCAACAATTCTACTTGGACCAAAATTCCTTGGGCCTCAGTTCTACAGAATAAATACTCTTCTCAATGGAGAAACACTAAACGAGCAATAGTAACCCCAAAAGGATTATAAGAAGAATCCAAGAAAAGTGCATTATCTTTGAGCATAAGATGACAAAATAACTTCTACAAAATTTCTGCAACAGATTTCACAGACAGGAATTAAAAAAAAAAAAAATAAATTAAAAGTTAGTCAGACCCAGCTTGGAATTTCCTACACTTTGAGAGCACATTACAGGAAACAAAATACAGTAAGGACTGATGATCCTCATAGGGCAGGGATTTCATAAGGAAAAATTTGCCAATATAAAAATATTTCATCTGTAGAAGCACTGCTTTTATGAGCATCTGTTTTTATTGCAGAATGACTGGTATGTTTTACAAGACTGTTTGGATATAACTTAGGGAAACCACTGGAGGCAAAGTGAACGTCCTGCTCTCTAAAGGACCACGTGGGTAACTCAGTACCTGTGTCCTACTTGCAAAGTTTGCCTGCGTAGGTTCAGCGTGGGTTATTGTCTGTCTTTCCTGCTCGAGCTGTTGTGCCTCAGTGCTGGGTGCAATCCACACTTTTCCATGAGTCATTCCAGCAGTGACGGCACTCGGTGTAAAACACACGTGTGCCACTATAAAAGGCTACTAAACTCTTTGTGATTGCTCAACGTACCACAGAGCCTAATAATTTATCTGAGGAGAAAGTAGAATCACCTCCATTCTTCCCTCAAAGCCAAGAATGCAGTGGGTAGTCGTTCCTCCTGAAGGAAAAGCTCAGGTGGAAACGGAGGAAAAACAGAGCTGAAATCCAGATGACGATTCTGTGCAACCTATACAACTGGAATGAAGCAAGAAAAACGTGTTTTCCACCTTAGCCTGTGACTGTTTGGGGTGTACATGTGGAGGGGAGTAGAAAGGGGAAAAAAAAAAAGCATTTCTAAGGAAGGAGGGTAAAAAAAAAATAGGAAGAAGTGAAACTACAAGCAAATGTAGGAGAAACATTATTGCCTCAGCCTAGAGAAAAAAGCAAAGATGACACCACCTGACCACCACACGCCAGGAGATCAGAAATTGAGCCTGCAGTTCAAAAAGACACTTCAAAAAGTCAAAAGAATGTGAGAGCTCATCCAGAGCAGATGACACCTACTTTCTGCCAGGTCTCCTGTGCACTGGGCACTGCCAGGGAACACAGCCTTTCAAGCCAATGAAACTAATCTGGAAACAAATTTATTAGAAGTAATTATTTCTCCTTTTTTTTTTTTTTTCTCTTTCACCAGAACTTTGAAATTCTAAGAGCCATGTCCTAATCTGCATGTCTGTAAAAATTCCATTTCTGTATCCACCTCTGCTCAGCGAATACACAGAGACACACAAGCCTCAATATATAGAATATATAGGTATATTCTACATAGCCATTGTATATACACAGTTATGTACAGCACAAGCAACTATATAGGAGACATTTATAGTATGTGGACGTATATAGTATATACACACACTATTATTACATTATACAGTACACTATATATATATATATACACACAGACACAAATCATATGGATCTCATCATGTACACTCTGTCTGCTTTGGGTATACTCACATTTTATGTCTTGCATTGTACAGGTTTTCTCTGCCCAAATAGCAACAGGCCTATTTGTGCTTTAAATTTCACTGTTCTGGAGGGAGAAGGAGACCAATGTCTTGTGAAAAGAGGTTTCTCTTAGAGGAACAAGTGGAGGTATTGTACAAGACATGGAGTTACAAGAGAAGAATGTGGGTAATCTGCCTTTTTCTAAAGAAAGCTGTATTAAATATGATTGGAGAAATCACAGCTAGCTTCTCTTCTCCTGCAGGGTCTAGCATTTGGAGGGAAGTGTTTCAGTAAAGCTAAAGTCACTAAATCTAACACACTGTGCACAGAGAACGTGTTCTGTCCTTCATTTGCTTGATCTTCTGGTACTGTCCAAGCAAACATGAAGAATGAGTCAACAAGGAAATGGGGAAATGAGCAGTTAGTTCTAACGCTATGTGGAATGCTAGATTAATTCACATTTCTGGCTTCCTGCTACTGCTGAACATCTTGAAAACACCAACTCACTGCCTTAGAAGCATGATAAATTACAGTGTTTTAGAGCACTGACAAAGTAGCAGAAAGTCTTGTTATGGTACATAACTCAGAAAATGAATCAAGCTATTTAGCTCATCCACCCCGTCCCACTGGAGTGACATCAGCCAAGGAGTAGTCCAAAAGTGGTTTTCCTTTCTAAAATGGCACTACACATGAATGGGGGTTTATTGTAGCAGAAGAGACACCACACTCCCAAAAGAAAATGAAAAGGGGAATCTTACACATGGATACAATTTGTTCAGCTTCACTAAGAATCCTGCACCCATTCAATTTTGAAAACTGCTCTTTCATAGCAAATGTTTTATCTCACGTTAGCTACACACACACCCAAGTTTGCTCTCAGAGACTTCAAGTCCTGTAGACCAACAGCATTTGTTGCCATTTTAGTGTGTTTCAACATTTAATCTAACATATTTTAGAGAAAAATAACCACAATGGAAAGAGATTTCAAACCAGGTTCTGCAAAAATTAGAGATATCTCCTACTGCACTTCAAAATAGTCATTAAAAGACAGCACTAAAGATGATTATATGCTTAGGTTTGATACCAGAATGACTCTTCTCCCTTTCTAAGGGGAATGACTGATTCTCATTAGTTGCAGTACCATTAGCACTGGAGACACAAAGCAGGCAGGGAACTGTGGCTCCTAAACCTGCCTTTGGAGATCTGGGGTTTCAGGTTAGTCTGTGTAAATGGGTGGATGTGTGTGTACACGTACAGACACGCACTCACCCATCAACCTACTCACAGAAGCCTGAGACAACAAATGCCACATCTTAGCTGCATTTCTGAGCTGAAAACTACTAAGAAGATTAAAATGACCCAATCTGATTCTTATCTCTGTGTAAGGAAAGCAGCCAGAGTAAGGCAATTACAACAGAACAGGGAAGGATCGCTTTCATCCAGTCAACAGGCACTATCATTGTATTGTGAAAAATAAAAGTAAGGAAGCGAGGACATAAAACATAGAAATGCATTAAAGATGCTGAAGGAATACCACATTTTCAAATAAAATAGAGAAACTGTTATAAGGGATGACTCAGTAAAAACACAAGACTCTTAAGATTTGTATTCCTAGAGAGCCAAGGACAGGAAAGCAGATCTACATTAAGGATATTTTAAAACTTTTACACTAGATGCCTACTCTATTTAGACATAAAAGTCCAAGGCAGAGACAACTGAAGTTTTCAAATTCCTGAAATCAGAAAAGGCATTTTTAGCAAGTAAATAATTCACAGACTTATCGTAAGGACTTATTTTATATGTGACATGTAAATCACACTGTGGTACCCTTACCAGAGGGAAGTTGTGAGTTCTACAGGTGTATATAAAAACTGTTCTGTGCTTGGACTCACTACTGCAAGCCGTGCTGTAAAGCCACTCCAGCCTACCAGTACTTCTCCAACCTACACATGAACCTGTATTTGGCAAATAAAATCTATTTCAGCTTAGCCAGATTTCAGCTAAATGATGTTTGATCTGTAACCGTGTAATAGAAGCGAGGTGGAATTAAAGAAGCAGAGGTAGGGGCTGTCTCATGCAGCCAGTGGGTCACACCAAGAACGTGGTCTATGTTCTGGGAGTAAAAGAGGGGAAAAAGAGCTGTAGAGATGAACACTGCTCAAGCTTAGGAAGTTTTCCACTGCTTGATTTTACATGAAAGCAGCACTCAAACTCATATCACAATCCTGCCATCAGATTTGCTTATGGGATAAAGCAAGATTTTACCTAATGGTTTAATTGCCAAATCATTTGTCTGATTTACTACAACTGAATGAACTCCCTCTTTTACAACTCTGCACACAGTCATTAAAACTCGATGCAAACAAATGTTTGAATTAGAAGAACTACTTCAAATGGGTAATACTTCACAGTTCACTATTTTTGTACTCATTGTATGCAAACTGTCAGATTCTTTTGTAAAAGCCACACCTCCTGGCTAAAAAGGGACCATCTAATAATGAACTTACTCTGAAGACTTTGACAGAGATGGCAGAGGTGACATACTGATTAGCCTACAATGAATTATTAAATAAATGTAACAAGTAAAAGCTAATTCTATAAATATTATCTTTTGATGACATTTTCTTTGAAATTCATACTGCAGCCTCAAAAAGTCAATGGAATTCAGGTAATAAAAAGCCAGACTCACAAGTTGCAGTTTACTAGATGCAACCTTGTCTTCCAGATAAAGAAACTTTGCTTTCAGTATCTTAGGATCATACATTAAATTTCTTACAAGCAGTAAATTTTATCTAGAACATATAATACAGCTTATACAGTGCTTCCTGCATATTATGCACTTGAAAAGCCACACAGAGCCCAGGTTGACGTAACCAGCCAGTCTTGTTTAGAGTTGAAGGTGACTTAAAGTTATTTTCACAACATAAACCAAGAATTTAGTAATTTTTATAAAAGCCACATTTAAGGGTTCCACTTGGAGAGGGGGGAGCCAAAACCCCCTGTTTAAGAGTTGGGCATATCAGCCTTACTGAGTGCAATAGCCAACTCAAGGTCTTCTTGTTCTTGTCTCCGCAACCGAGCTAGTCTTTCTTGCTCTGCCTTTTCACTCTCACGTTTTGCCCATGCCAGCTGCTGTTCTTCATTTCCAAACTAAAAAATGAAAATGGAAAACAAATTAATACATTTACCGAAAAGCTAGAGGAAATTAATGTGAAAAATACAACGAAGCAGAGTGATTAAATATATGAATCAAGTATACCAAGCTGTCTGCGGGTAGTTCTTCTGGATTAAGATAAAAATGCACTCACTGATTTCCTGACTTCATCCTTTAATTTATTTCCTTAATTTCTTCCTCCTCCCACCAGGAAACTAACCCATCTGGGCTGCACGTCCCTGCATCCATGTCTCAGTTTTGTATGAAAATGGCCAGGGGACTGGAGCCAAACAAAAACTCCACAAACACAAAAAAAAGCAAGTTAGTGGTTTAGGAGCATAACAACCTACATCCATTTTTAAGTATAGTAAATAGCTGTTAAAAAACAAGAGTTATTTACTCTTGTGCAACTCTGTTGCAGAGTTTTATTGTAGTAGTTCCTGCTAAGGGTGAGAGGGTTTAATAATGACTCTGGAGACTGCGGATTTGTGGGAAGTTTCATCACCAAATCAAAAGTTACAAAAAGTGCCTCTGTCACTGTTCATAAAAACACTTGCAGAGTTTTTCCAGTAAGAAATAACGTAAGAGAATCCAATTTACTTCAGCAGAAAACACTAAGGAAATAAAATGCATTGCAACATCCAGCTTCTAAGCCTGGTTGAGCTCCCCAAAACACATTTAAATCCACTGCAGCAAAACTACTCCAAAACTATATTCCAGTATTTACCACTGCTTGATGCAGGAGGTTTGCTTCTTTGATTTTTTTTTTGCACAAAATATGAAAACAGTTTATTGAAACTGTAACAATTAAAAAACTAAAATATAATTGGTGTTTAATTTTAGCCTTCCCTGAAGAGGATGATGGTAACAGAAGTGTTTGCAGAGCTGCAGGCAAGTGCTTGCATTAGATGTCACTTCTAAAATTTGCTTGACTGTTCCAGACAACACCTGATGGACCCTCCCCAGCCTCTGCCCCAGCGCTGTAATTCCTACCTTCTAAATAAATGCACTTATTTGAGTTTCAACCCAAGTCCAATCCCTATTTACTCATCATCTAAATTATGCTTCATCTCTGTGCTTGTGGATGCTCATGATTCCTCATTTCATTTCTCTCAATACGATTTTTCAGATGATTTGATGTAAGAAAAGGATTCTTTTAAAATTACTTTTCTTCAAACAATACCTCTGCTTTCATCGCTATCAAAATTTAGATGAGGACCTTTGCATTCAATGTTATTAAAATACAATAAAAGTGCTGCTCATTTTATGATATTTTGCTTCCAAAATGAAGAAAACCTACTATTGCTCCTCATTTGAATAATGACAGCTGACAGGTAGGGTTTAAAAGCTCACTAAGACTTAAAATAGATTTTTTTAAGATACAGTAAAAACGGCCTCAAATGGAAGCAGGACTTCCCCACTTATTCCAAGAAATCAAAAAGATCATATAAGCCAGGATGGAAAAGAACAGTTACTATTTTCAGAAATAAAATAAGCTTCGGTCAAACCCTCTGGGGTGTCTTTTTTTTAAAAAATAAAAATTTAAGAGAGCAGTTTTACTTCTATAGCTTGGATCTTAGGATAAGTCTTCCACAGCTTGCAAGAGTCCCAATCATGACTTGTTTATTTTACATAAGTTATGTTTTTGTGGTTAAAACTGCTGAGTGAAAACAAAAAAACCAACAACAACAGAAAAGGAAAAACAGGCAAGTGATTCATTTGAAACAAATCTGGATGTGGCTTATTAGAAATTGTTAGCAGGAAGTCAAGTTTTCAGGAGCATGACTCTGACCATCAGTGGGATACAGAAGAGTTCATTAACGCCACTGACTCTTGCACAGGTTGCCTATAAAAAGGTAACATAACTGAATGATAAGTCATTTCATACAATAACAACTGTTTTTTCACTTGTCCAGGTTTCAAGATGTCTATAAATATTTATCACAGATCTGCCTTTTCATTAAACCCTTTTCTTGAGACTGAAGGCATAAATGAGGAAAAAAGCAGACCAGCAAAACTGAGCAAATGCACAAAAGGTTACATGGACTTGGGCTTGGCTCAATTACCAGCTGGTATTAGGAGAAAAATTGGAGTTTAGTTCTCAGTGCTCTGTGTCTTGGAAATTTAAACGCTTTCTGTTGGCAGAAAGGTTGCTTTGCTTGTTGCTCTGTAAACTGAAGCTGGAACCTAGAAATACCTGAATTATGAGCTACCAAAAGATTTTGTTTTGTTCCAAAGAGTCACATTTAATGACAGTGGAAAAGTTAAGAGTGCAAGGAGAATATACTTAAACTCGGTGCATCTGTTTGCCAGTGTCTCAGAAAAAAAAAAAGCCAAATTTTCTAGGGTGCTACTAAAATCTAGTGAAGGTTCTCATGTTAATTCTTTGCAATAGTAAAGAATTCCAATTAAAAATCAGGTTATTCAATTATTCAAACTTACATGATGCTATGATTCTGTTCTCAGATTCCATTGACTCAAACTATGTGTCAAAAAAGCTTCTGTAAGTAAAATTGCTTTTTTCATTTCTGTTATCAACAAAGTTTCCCAAACATCAGGCACAGAGAAGCACATTCTTGCTGATCACAAGGTTAACAAATGTATTTAAATCTTCATATAGAAGGATTAGGAATGATCAAATGCAGTAAAATAACTGTGTTATAGGCAAGCAAAGAAAACAACCAACGAACTGACAAGGGATCAAGTCTTTGTCTTTTCAGCCAGATTCAGTTAGTACTTTTTTTTCTTACAGCAGTAGAAATTCACAAAACCAAAAAATTCATTTCATTTGATGAAGTGCCACTTAATAGTAATTATAAGTGGCTACTGCTCAAGATCTGATTTCTCCTAATCTTCTAAAGTTAATCTCACCTCCTGAAAACCTGATGGCACAGCAAATTTAATAGTAAAGCACCCACTGGGATGGGGATCAGAGATTTTGGTTAATCATTTGATACAATCAGTTGGTGTAAGCCACACTTTTAAGTTAGGAAATGCAGTCTGCAAAGTCAGATGACAATAGCTGGGTAACAGTCACTCCATTCCATTATTGGTCTTTCATTGAAGGAAGAGATTAGATGTTGGTCAAGAAATTGCAGATAAAGCAAGTTTTGTGTCTTGTTTTTATTAAGAATGTCACCATTTTGTATTACAATCACAGAATTTAACTGTGCAAATTCAACAGGCTAGTACTAACTGTGGTAAAGCATACATCATATTTGGAGCTTGGACATCTTCAGTATCATAGATAAATTAAAGCACTGAGGCCAGCCAGAAGTATGCAGAGATGACCTCCACTAACAATATCAAATAGGAAGGTGATACACATTTACTGTTGGCTACTAACTAGGGGGGAAAACATTAAAAATAAGCAACCTGAAAGATTCGGCTTAAAGATCTCCACTTGTTGAACACTGAACTCTGCCCACCAGACTTCAGCACCAGGGTAAGCTGGCAGCAACAGAACAGAAACGTGAAGGGAGGAAGGAGCCAGGGGCTGTGGATGGAGCAGATTCCTATCTCCTCAGGGAAGCAACAGGAACCACACTGCTGCTCATTGACAGGGATTTCCAACCCAGGGAGGCACCTGCCAGCACTGGAAACAGAGCCGGGCTCTTAGAAACCCTCTGTTTTATAGGGAATGGGTGCTTGGCTTGGCTTTCAGAGCTCCTCACACTGTCTTTTGTAGCAGTATGGGCGTTTCTCTGTCGGTTCTACAAACCCGTTTTGTTTTCTTTGTCTAACAAGGGCTTTTCTACAGTAGCAGGAATTGGAACAAAATTCAACAGCTGAACTTTCAATCTCTGTCGGGTATATGTATCCTTACGATCACATTTCATCATATACAGCAAACATTGTGACAGGATTGTCAGAACCTTTTTCACAAACAATTACAAATACTTTGTGGAATCCTTCCCTTTATGGATCTGCTTCTCAGGATATGGTAAAATTGCTATATAAATGTTTTCAACAGTTGTTTTTGAATCTTTACAGCATTGGCTTCCAAAAAATCAGTTTACAAAATAGCCTCCATGCAACAAAAACAATACACAGATTCTGCTACAAAGAATTTGTGAGTAAAGGCACACTGTACTAAAATAATTTAAATGCAAGTAAACCCTTTAAAATTTAGTATGAAACTTCTTTTTTTTTATTGAAATAATGCCTTTTTATTACAGAAATATTAATACAAAAACAACGAGGACAGCATGAAGGTACTAAGAGACAGAAGCCAGTGAACAGTAGGTTTGCAGTTAAAACAAAAACCCAAAAGATTGCTGCAAGCAGAGCAGAAAGTGGTTGCTCAGAGACAATGAACTTAACTTACAGAGCTGAAGTCTGCAAACCCCAAGGAAGAGTCTTTAGAAGTTTTACTTGAAGAGGAAGGAGCAAATGGATCTTTTCCACTAAATGGGTCCCCAAACCCCTTTTTACTTTGAAACGGGTCACTGCTGTCAGCCCCAAATGGCTGGAATGGATCATGGGGCTTGGGAAAATCTGAAGACCCAAGGTGGCTTACAGGAGTACTTTTACCTGGAAAGTTTAGGAAAACAAAACAAAACAAAAAACAAAAGGAGAAAAAGAGAAGTTACTTACCATGGACAATGCAACCCCCTTACACAGGACACTGTTCTGATACACTATAGCATCATCCATTCCTCCTGGGGTGGTTTAAAGTTTAACCAAATATAATTCTCATTTCTGAATATAAATCATCTCAAACAGTTGATTTATTTGAATGGATTTGTTACCTTACCTATACGTAAAGCAATTTTAATACCATCAAGATTTTAAATGATAAAACTCAATATAAAGACATTTGGTCAGAAGAATTTGACAAGTATGACTTCAGTTCATTTTCCAGGATTAGAAATATTTCACGTTTGAGTCTTGGATTATATAAAAGACAAAGTACTTTAAAATATATATCACTAAAGACACATAACTGATCATGTTAAAGAGAATTAAATCGTAACTTATCTGTGACTTTACAGAATGCATGCATCCTGGTTTTTCCTGGAATTGGTTTATCCTCCTACCACCACTCTTACATGAGAAAGGAGATTGATTTTAAAAAATCTCCTTGTTGTGGGGTGCTTTCTGTGCAACCCACCTTCAGCAGGTGACTGCTCATTCTTACATTCCACCCCAAGAACAAATGGAATCACAGCAACTATTGTGTGTGCTCACAATTACTTGTTGCAGTTAGAACCTCAGTGGTTAATTTTTAACTCCCCTCACAAAAAACGCACTACTTGTTAGGTCAAATAACTGAACAGACAAATGTAATTTCTTTTTACATTCTTTTTTCTTTAGAAAAGATTGCTCCTGACAGACACACAATCTAACCTCCAGGGATGAACATCCTCCTTGGATGAACAATCCCAATTATAATGTGTACTTGACAAATGATAAAGGAAAATAATTTTAAATATTTTAAATCTTCCTGCATAATAGCCTGGATTGCATATATTGTTGGAATTAGTAAAGGTATCCTTTTTGAAATGTCTAAATCATTGAACTGTAAGTTAACAGGAATCTTGTAGTTTATTCACATCAGGACACACATACTAGGACAGCATGGAGAAAATGAGTGGAAATCCCAGATTTCAGATTAGGTACTTGGCACATCTGAGACATTTTAAGAAGGTACTTTGGTAGCTGCTCATGAACTTCGTATTTGCCCAAATATGTGGAAATGCTCATTTATCAAGGAGAAATAAAGAACAGCAACTCTCTACACTAAGTCACCCATCCTTCAAGGGCTGTGAAACCACAGCTCAGCCTCTCCTATCCCAGGGGCCAGCCCAACATCCCCCTTCCCTTGCCCTCAGTGGGTCCATGGCCATCAGCAGGCTCCACACCACGCTGGTGGCACCTCCTTTGTGACCACAGAGGGTGCAGGGGCCTGCAGTGCTCCAGCTCAGCCAGGCAGAGGTTTAGAGGGGAGCCAAAGGAACCCTGCAGACTCTTATCTCATTAGTGTAGTGCCAATGGCAGACTCAGGCCTTGGATGCAGCACGGTGACCACTGTGGAAATGTGAAGCAACAAAGTCCAGAGCTGAACAAGCAGACAGAAAGAGGAGCAGAAAACAAGACACATGGAGGAGGAGATACAAAGAATTTGCTTAGTCTTAAGAGTATTCAAGAGGAACCTGACCATACGCCTGCAGGCAAGTCTTCCATCAAGGCAGAACCTAATTAATTTAGTTTTAACCAAGAGAGATGTACATTAGACAATCTGTAACATTTCTGAAGTTGAGAATACTCCAGCCTGCCTAGGGAACCTGCTGCATTCCAACGTCGTGTCCATGGGCTTTGAGAAATCACACTGGTTTAGCTGCCTTGAAGCTGGAGGATAAACAAGATCTTTTAAAGCTCTCTCAGTACTATTTTTCATGGATTGGTATGTGCCTCCATGCCAGTGAACAGATGTGGCAAGGATACATGGACCCTCATACCAGCAGCCACATGTGGGACTTCAAAGACAGGCAGATCAGACCAGTGATTTGTCCTCCATGGAAGGAAGTGACAAAATGTACAGGAAATACCAGCAACATTTGCTCCCCTCACCAGCATGGACCCTCCCTCACCACAGTTTCAAACTGCTTTTCCTATCAACAGGGCACGCTTTGCTCTCTGAATTGGAGTGTGGCAGCAACATCCCACTCACCACCAATCACTTCAGGAGACTCACTTCAGCCACAGCTCTGCAGTCCTAGGGAACTAAAACATGCTACAAGAGGAGTCATTTGGTCTTTTGTATCTAATTCTCCAGATGAAAAAGCAACTTATTTTAACTTGCAAAGAGAATTCAAGTATCTGCATTTCTAATTTAAAATCAAAGCAAAACAAGAGCCCTCTACATTTTTTCTCTCCTTCTCTCTTCCTCTATTTCCAGTTACTAGCAAGCAAATTCCCCCTTGTACCCTTCACCCTACATTGCCCCAAACCAATTTTGACTGACAGAAGCCAAAATGACCCATTTTAAGCTGCCCCCTTCTTAGGTTAAACCTGCTGCTGCCAAAACCACTCTGTGCAATTGGTGACTGTTAATACAAGCGCAGGGTTTGCAACGTATTTGCTCAGCAAACCTGTTTTTTTAGGTGGCCTGTTTAATGTTTTTGCACAAAGCCCCTAGTGGTTTCAGAACCAGGTACAAAGAGCATCGGGGTTTCTCCTGCTCCAGCTTCACAACAGATCACAACGAATGGCTTTGCTGCAGAGGAAATGTCACCATGAATGCTAGAGTTACTGCTAATGATATTGAAAAGATTCATTTTACTCCCTGAGTGCTGTGTTCCTCAGGGCTTTTAGATGTTAACGAACAGAAGAGGGCTATAATTGTTCCTCTGAAGAGAGAAACCCCTGTGAAATCAGGTTTATTTCTTTGCAGAGCAATTTTAGGCAGTGCCCTTGCTGAACACACCAATCCCAGCACTCAGGACAGAGTCCTCAGAGTCCCTCTTCCACTACACTGGTTACAACACTGCGTGCACTTTGTTTAATCCTGCCAGGCTCAGCAAACGTGGGTTTGAGGCCTGGCAGAAGTTTGCTTGGTTCAGTTAGATGTTCAAACTTACTCATTGATTAGCCACAAACGAGTAATAACGACACCAGAATTATCTTTTTGACATCTTTGCTGGCTCACCCCGTGTGTGACTCTCTCAGTGCACTAAGTCTATACTGAAGTAGACAAAGATTTTTGTATTCCTGTGTTTAGTATGTCAAAAATGTGGGTACAGTATTTCTATAATGTAAAGCAAAAATACCCAAACCACATTAAAAAGTCACCAGCTGAACTGAAGGACATGGGTAAAATCATAATGTTGCACAATATATTCTTAGTAACTGAGATTGCATTAATCTTATATTCACTAGAGAACGTTGCATTGCTACACGATGCCTCTCACCCTTTGTGAGGTATGGCGGTACAAAAGTGGAGCCAAACAGTTTTAACCCTCACTTATTTGATTTTTCTGCTAATAGTTTCAGGGGAAAAAAAAGTTCAGAAAAAAGCAAAACAGGTCCTGTTCTGAAACCACAGCAGTTTCAGCAGTTACCCAAGTGGTGCACCCAAACCACACCGAGGACTCACTTCAGCAAAAAGAGACGATGAACAAAATGGTTTACCACAGCAAATGCTGTTAACTTGGAGTGAACTCCACCCATGTGGAGGGTTTGTCTCATTTCATACTCCACAGCTAACTTCAGGGTCGAGATCCATCGTTCCAGGCAAATATCATCTCACTGGTAGGGTGCAATTACAGAATTGGTCCTTGTGAATCACAGCATACTGACAATGAAACGATTCAGTGAAATATTGACAGTTTTCTCTGTATTTTAAGTTCCAACAATGGTCCTGTCTTTCTGCTTAGAGGAACATCTTAGTGAATTACAAGAATTATGTTTTCATGTGTTTGCAGGCTGCACTGTGCATGCCCACAGGCAGACCTGAGATGACATGACTTTAAACTTTCACTAAAGAGCTACACCTTTCCAGGAAACCTTCTCAAGTGAAAAATATGCTTTAAGAAGACTGAGCTGTGCTACACAAGATAAGTACTGATATTGTTGAGTTAGGTCCATTCCTGTGATTATACTTGAACATTAACAGCAGGGTTTCTGCCTCTCACATCTTTTCTATGGCAGAGGAAGTGTTACTCCAGAAAACTTCGGAGCCTGGGCAGCAAGTGCCTCTCAGCACATCTTCCTCTTGGCACTTTGTCAAAATTATGCATCATTCCTAACTTACTCAGCATGTTTTTCACCATCCTCTTAAAATTATCCAGCTCTTCCACTGATGCAAAATAAAACTTTCACAAACTGTTGACTTTAAGGAATTACAGAAAATTACTCGTTTTCAAAATGTGCTAGAAGGTTTGTGACATTAAAACCAATTTTCTACAGAATATTCAGAGGTCTTTATCTTCAGCAGGGGCTATTCTGCACTGTATTTCAAATTCAACTGTTTGGCAATAATGCCCTTTGCACAGAATCACATTATATATTTTTAGTAGCAGAAGGAAGAACTTTTCCTATGCAAAAAAACCCTCAAAAATATTTTTGCTTAATATTTGCAAAATCTGCACCTTGAGCTAGCCCGTAACTCTGAAAAACTTAGCTTAAGAGAAATATTCTGCAAACTACAAGCTTCTTGAAAGGTGAGAAGAGAAATCGTTATACATTCAGCCTAACAATCTGTTCTGAAACAGATTCTGAAAAACCTCCTTCCACCGTCGGTACTGAAAGATCTTCACTGTGAGAAATCAGCACAAACAACAGAATCAAAGCGTGAATGGAATTTTTAGTTTGTGGCTGGGCAGGTGCTCCACCCATGAGTCATTTATCCTACACAACAAGGGATGCCTGTGTTCTAATGCAACTGTCAGGGCTTCTAGAAGGCATGAAAAATAATAACTTTTTTTTTAAAAAAAGTTTTCCTGTCAAACTTTGAGGCAAACATTTTCACTCTCGGCTGCACATGAGGAAAAAACCTGAAGGTAAACAGGCACTGTGCTACTTGTGAACAA